GCTTGGCTTAATACTTCATTATCTGCATCGCCAAAAAAGTGATTTGGGGTGCCTGAAAGCACCTGGTTTTCCTCTAGACCGCATAGAAAACCAAAGTAGTTTCATCAGTGAGAAATTATGGCACATCTGTGAGTGAAAGCATTTGTCCGAAAACATCATGTTCCATTTCTCCAATGAGCATCAAATACCATTGCATTTCATCTGGTATATATTACCCAATGAGCACAAACAAGATCGAGGTTGTTATTTCGTTCATCTTATCGTTATCCTGTGTGAACGTAAGTGCTTTCGAGAAATAGTTTAAGAAATTAAGATATTTCATATTAGTTATGTCTATGAAAATAAAATATTCATGTACATTTAAAAAATCATACACAGATGACTTACCTTCTAATATTTCCTCAAGGAAATATAATGCATTTGTGATGTGTACCATTCGTCATTGCGATTTTTCGATTTCGCAGGGTGGAAGGACCGATGGTTTCAAACATGTTTGTGTACAAAAACATAGGGACAACATGAGTTCTATTGAAGAAAACGAAAAGTAAATTTTTTTCTTTGGAAATAAAAGACCAAAAAGTTATTAATGCAGAATGTTCTGTTTGCATTTAAGAATTAATAACTAAACTTTTAGATATAAATTAGTAATGACTTGGAGGTAATTCATTATTACAAAATATATTTTTATCAATTAAAAACCTTTTTCATTGAAAATAAATCTGATTTCTAAAAGAATTCTCCCGGTTTTTGGGTGTCGCAGGTTGGCAAGTATGCGTATGTATAAAACTCAATTTGTTACTTAATCTTTATAAAAAATTAATGCAATTTACCAGTTTGTGCAAGAAACAAATGCTTAAACATTACTTTTTATGTATAAATTAAATTTTTTAATCAATATACGTAATTCTAAATTATATCTGGTTTGAAAAACAAACTAAAACCAATACTGAATATGCATTGATTGTAGGCATATTTAAGAAATATTTGTGACCAAGGTCTGTTGATATAAGGCAGTGTTTGCAAAAGTTAATATTCCATCATTTGGCAATTACTTCCAGCTATAAAATAGCAACTTTACGGGTTGCCTTCTCCTAGTTTCTTATCTAAAAGTTAACAAAGGCCACCTTCTAAAAGGTTCAAGTCTTTGGTAGTTTCCTTTGCAATCCGAGCCAAAAGGAGGTGGAACTTCTGTTGTTGTCATGTCCACATTACATGGAACAATGGTTGCCAGAGCCTACTTCAAAGAGAGATTGGACTTCTATTTTCCACCCCCAATTGGTGAAACTTTTTTATAACTTTACCACCTTTTAAAGGTTGTAACACATTACATGTACATTTGTATTATTATATTTTTATACATTTTAAGAAGTACAAATTCTCTGTACTGTAGTTAAAAAATTTGAAGCTATTTTAAAAATCAAGCAGTTAAAAAATTCATAATGCTAGTATCTATTAATTGATAGGCATATTAATATAATTTCCCCTCCCCTTCATTTATGTATTTGAAAAAGTCTGGCAAACAACTTTAATTAGAATAAAAATATTGTTCTGATGAGGACAGGTATAAATCCAAAACTGGAGTTGCATTTCTGTCCACCATGCTAGATCATGTAACCATGGAATAAGTCAAATGGATGAACTATAAACAGCTTTGATGGGTAAGAGTAGGATATTCTGCTACTGAAAAATCAGTCTTTTCCTAAAGATGAGCTTAAAAATGGTAGTTTTTCTATTGATTAGTATATAGTATTAGTTTTCATTCATACAAATTTGAATCTAACAAGTGGCTGATTTTATTAACCAGCAAGTTTAATAAATGGCGGGTGTTGGACATATATATGTGTGTGTGTATACATATACAGTACGAAGTACGAGATACAGACTCGTTTGGACTTAGGCGATTCCATATTTCAGACTTACTTATTTTTATTTGTTTTATTAAACATTTATTTTAATGTAGTTATTTAAGCTGCTTTGTTTTTGGTGTTAATATTTTCTGTTTAACTTTATAGATAGATATTATTTCATTGTCAGTTACAAAGTTCCACAGTTCAAGTCCTGTAACTGCCATGTCTCGCTAAACTGTCAAAAAAGTTTCATGCTCAAAAACCTCTTTTTCACTTTCTTCACTATCTATAGCGACATTTTCTAGATATAGTCTGATATTAGATCATTCCGGAAGTTGGACATCTGGATTTTGGACTTTGTATATATATACATATATATTATATATATTGCATGTTACTTTCTTTTTCATCATTTAATCAAAAACTGCAAAGTTAATTAATAAATAAATTAAGTTTGTCTCTATTTTTTCTTTTGTATGCTTATATGTATTTTTAAATGTCACATGATTTCATTAATTAGTACATTTTTATTCATGTTTTGATTTAAGAAGTAAAATTTTTAAATCCACTTAAAGAATACCTTCATATGACATTGAATAAATGAATGCCATAAATTAGTCATTGTAGTTTTGAAAAAAAAAAAAAAAAAAAAAAAAAATGAAATGAAATTTGGTTAGTAATAGTAAATGTGATTATTAATCCTTTAAAAAATTTCACTTTTAATTATAATTTGTTCCAAGATTTAATATTTTTTTTTCTTTTTGAAACTGAACTTGCATTGTTGCAGAGGAGTTGTGTGAACAAACAACACAATGTAAAAGCCTGAATGATAGCCTGGTGTTTCTAATTTAACAATCAGTTTGCTGCACTAAATAACTATTTTAGGTATTAAAAAAATTACAATATTTATTACTAAATTCATGTGTGATCTTGCAATAGTTTTCCTGCATATGCACTGCATACATTGATATAATATACTAATAACTGTAGTAGAAATATAAATAAGTAAACCATGCAGTATTAAGAGTCATATTAATTTCTTCATTATTATTCATAGGTTTTTTTTTTCTTCTTTCAGTTCAATCTAGAAACTGGCTATTAACTTTTTTAACAGTTCTATGCTGAATTGTAAAAAATTAACAGCAATAAATATTAGAATTCATCTTTAAAAACTGGTTTGTAAAAATATATTAAGAAATGGTTCAGTCAAATCACATAAATCCCATCATACATAAATGTAATTACAGTATTAAATATATAATTTTATTTTAAACACAGTAGAGTTCAAAACACTGTATTTCAAATTTTTTTTTTTATAAACTACCGTTACATTGAAAGATTTTACTTCAATTTAGAGGTAACAGAAATTATTAAAAAAATATTCTTGTCTTTCATTTTTAAATTTAAAAAGTACTTAAAACTGATGCACCTTATCTTTACTGAATACTTGTTCAGTACCATATTTTAATGTAAATAAATCTGTAAATGTCATAATTTGGATTTGTTTTAATATTTTAAAAAAATGTATTAAACTAACAGTTAATTTTTACATATTTCAGATAAATTGGAAATTCATTATTTTATATAGAAGTTTTCAGAATTAAATCCGAAATGATGTTTTGTTACAAGCAGGAAAAATTTCTTTACTTTCCGATTATCCTCACCCTAACTGAAAAGGTACAAAAAGTATTGTTGAGGTAAAGCAATATGTCACCAAAATATCTATGTGGCAGCCTATGACATTACCAAAAATTATTTATTTGGCAACCCAGATAAGCAAGCACGTGCCTGTTTTAGTCAGTGTGCAATGCTGATGTTATTATGTGAATGCCAAGTAGTGCATTTTTCTGATGTTCTTTCAAGAGAAAACACATGACTGTGTACATGGGAAGAACTACAGTACAAAAGAATTACAGTATATTTTGAAAAAGGTAAGCATTTTATTAACAGTGTGTCTTCCCTTTTTACTTTTATTGATTGATTGCTCTTTTATAGAATTGTTAGTATGCCGCCATTTTTTAAATGGCTTTTGTCTGGTACAAAATTAGTTGGTAATAAGATCTTAAATGCTCTCCAAAGTTGCCAGTGGATTCACGACTTCTCGGTATGGGTGCACATAATCAGAAAATACCAAACTTTCAGAGCATTTTTATCAATTAGTCTTTAAGTTATAGAAATATAAATACAGTACAAAGTCCAAAATCCAGATGTTCAATATCCCACCACCAGATAAAAAAAAAATAATGTAAAAAAAAATCTAGGAATGAAGAATACTGATTAAAACACCTGCTTCCTCAACAAAAAGAAACATATTTGCTATAAATGAGATATTTCTTCAAAGTAATTGATATTGTTCATGTCACATTCAAGTACCTGCTGTCTAGAGAAGTGGCACCCTGAAAACGACATTACATTCATTGACAATGTATTGGTATTTGCCAGGGTAACACTTTCATCCTTTAGAGGATAGCATTTTTCTGCTTGAGATAAACAGTAAAGGAAGCCCTATTGCTGCCATGTCTATACCTCATCTTACTCGGTTTAAACTGATAACCTAACAAATAGAATGGTCGAATTCAGTGCCGACCCTAGACCATCAGCCACCCATGTGCACATTAAAATTGGCTGCCCTTTTTACAGAAATATAGGTTTGATACTCATTTTGTCGCCCTTAAATTTTTAAACCCATATGCTGTGCACCACTTGCCCTCTGCTAGAATCGGCCATGGCCAAAGTACCGACGATTCTGAATCTCAGACTTTGTACTGTATCTTAAAACATTAAGCCATGTGACAATTTTTGGATAAATTTTTTGATGACAAAATTTTGAACTTCTTCTGAGAACAAAATGTTCTTGGTAGAATCTTACAGACCATTACATTATGTTAACATGCATACTTGCCTTGATATAGAATGATAATGTGCGAAACATAAGATCTTTATTTGTATATCACTTGATGAAACTGAGGTGGTTCATTATAAGTGGGCACCTCTAGTATAAAAACATAAAAAGCATAAAAATAAAAAAAAAAAGCATAAAAATGAATGGGTATATGTTATCACTTTGCATAAAAATTTTGCATTTAAAGAAAAACTGAAGGTATTTTAAACATTGATTTTCATATTATGCTACAGAAATTTTACACTGTTGAATGTTTTTTTTTATCATCTTTATATTACTTTTGGAAAATCAAAATACATTTCATAATATAGGCATATTCATGTTTTTTAGTTTCAGCTTCTTTCATCTTAGACAGATTTTACACCTTAAAGCAACAATATATTGCACTCCTACAATTTTTCATTAATATGTTCAACCATATGTCCTCAGCATGCAACAGACTGATTCTAGGCTTCTAATTTCTCTGATTTTCACTAGTATGGCTAAGCATATGTACACTTAGGTTACGTTTTTGTGTAAATGATTTCGAACATATATCACACACATAAGGTTTCTCACCGGTATGGCTAAGCATATGTGTATCCAAGATACTTTTCTTTGAAAATGATTTACTGCACACATCACATCCATGTGGTTTTTCACCAGTGTGGATACGCATGTGTTCCTTTAAGTGACCTTTTCTTGCAAATGCCTTGTTACATATGTTACATTCATGTGGTTTTCCACGTATGTGGATAATCATGTGTGTATTTAAATAATATTTATCAGCAAATGACTTACTACATATATCACATTTGTATGGTTTTTCACCACTGTGCATAAGCATATGCGTATTTAAATCATGTATTTGTACATATGATTTGGGGCACATAGCACATTTATATGGTTTATCCCCACTGTGTGTAGTCATATGTTTCTTTAATACACTTCTGTATCCAAATGTTTTATTACATATATCACATTCATGTACTTTTTTTGTTTCACGAGTATGAATAAACATATGCCTTTTTAAACCACTTTTGCATACAAATGATCTGTTACATACATTGCACTCATGTGACTTCCCATTACTGTGGATGCACACATGTGAATTTAAGTGATTTTTCCTTGTAAATACTCTGCTACATGCATTACATTTATATGTTTTTTCTCTAGTGTGAATATGCACATGCTCAGCTAAGAGCTCTTTATGTGCAAACAGTTTGCTACATATACCGCATTGAAATGTCTTCTCAGTAGTGTGGATACGCATGTGTATCATTAATGTATTTTTGCATGTAAATGACTTACTACACACATCACACTGGTGTGATTGCTCATTTTTATCATCCATATGGGTAACCATATGTGCTTTTAAATGACCTTTTCTTGCAAATGACTTATTACATACATTGCATTCATGTGGTTTTTTACCAATGTGAATAATCATATGTGCATTTAAATAATATTTTTCGGCAAATGATTTGCTACATACATCACATTTATATGGTTTTTCTCCAGTATGGTGAACCACGTGTCTGTTTAAAGCTACTTTGCAAGTAAATGACATATTACACATGTTACACTGATAAGGTTTCTCCCCAGTGTGGATTTGCACATGTCTCATTAAGCTACATTTATGTGCAAATGATTTGCTACATACATCACATTTATATGTATTTTCTCCAGTGTGCTCAACCATATGTCTGTTTAATGTTTCTTTGCATGCAAATGACAGACTGCAGTCATTACACTGATATGGTTTATCTCCAGTGTGAACCAGCACATGTCTCATTAAGCTATATATGTGTACAAATGATTTGCTACATACATTACAACTATATGTTTTCTCAGAATTGTGGGCAAGCATATGTCTATTTAAATAACATTTGTGTTCAAACGATTTAGAACATACATGGCATACATGTGGTCTTGGGCGTATGTGATTTGGCATATGTTTCTTTGACTTGACTTTATCTGCAAATGATATGTTGTATTCATATGATTCCTTATCATTGGTTGTATGCATGTCTCCCAAATGTGCTGTTGTTGAAATTATTTATATGTATACCACACTTCTTTCACATGTTGGTTTATAAATCATACATTTGGTATGGTATTTCTTTGTTGTCCTATTCATTTGGCTATTTCACATGAAATTTTTAACATTTGCACTATATATATGTATAAATGTATAACTTTTTGTTGCAGAGAAGTAATTTATAATTTGCAATACTTCTATGTGCAAATGAATTTTTTAAGCTATATTTAAGAGAATTTGGATTATAATTTAAATTAATGGATTTCAAGCTTCAATTTTTGCAAGCACACATTTTCAATAATTTATTGACACACATAAAAGGATTCTGTTTTCTCATGCATGAAATACTGCATTTTTCATCAACAACTATTACTATGCTTTATAGAAATAATTTGATGTATACAATGCTAACATTATATTTTTTTTTAGCCTTTCAATTAATACATAGTACTTTCTTTCATGAATCCTTGATTCTGCATCATTCATTTTCCTTGTGCCATCAGGTTCATTACAATGCATGAATGTATGAAGCAAAATTTAAACTGCATTCACATGCATAAATAATATAATTTCCACTTATTGCTTTTTACATTTTTTTCATAGCATTTTCCAGACTCATGACAGTGACAAACTCTTACGATGCTTTTTAATACATGAGCTCTCTATGAGAATATCAACATCTTTTAGCCAAACATCAGAGATAAATAGTACATTCATTCTCAATTTATATTCAGGGTTTAAAGATATGCTGTGTTAAAGTTCAATAAATCATTACTACATGGGAAACAAAGCTGAGCTGGAATAAGCATATTATCTTGTCACAATTAATGAACAAGTGACAATGACTGCGAATAATTTTTCGTCATATCTCACATACGGTGAATAATTGTTAATACATTTCACGAATAATATATATTTTAGTGTTGAACATCTGACTAAGAATAAAAAAATGAGCCATTTTGATACCAGAATGCCAGAGAGATAATATTGAGGCAATTCAGGATCATTCAATTTCTAGATACATAACCTATATTGTTTAAGAACTATTCACCAATTAAATTTTTACTCAGTTAAATATAAAAATTGGGTATTTTAATTCATTATTTTTCGCTGAGCGTTTTATAGCAAATGTGTATAAGAAGCATTTTAAATTTCCATGATGAATATTAAACATCAAAACACTTAAAAGTTTATTTTGCTTTGTTTTTAAGTCTTTCTGCTCAAAGACCAAAAATTAAAATAATAACAAAGGCGAAGTTGCAAAGTCTTGTAGAAACCTGTTTTATTCTATTCTTCTTGGTAAAACTTGGTTATTAATTGAAAAAAATTCAGATAAAATTTAGGGTAATTTCCGCAGAACAGTAATACCAACAATATTTACCCCTTTGAGGCACTGAGTTCTTATATAAATTATACTTTCTCTTCTGCAACAGAAGTAAATATCACGTAAGAAATAGCAGCAAGGATTAATTTGGTTTAGTTTATTTGTTTATGGCAAAACATGTTAGGGATATCTGTTTAAGGGGGAGGATGTCTTCTAAGAGAACATTCTAAGGGAAATCGGCTGGTATCCACATTACAAATGGGAAAAGCCATGAAAATGCCCATGCAGCTAATCCGTTTACCTGGCATCGAACCCAAGTCGAACTATCAGTGTTCAACGATTTTACCACTCGGTGAGCAGCAGTCAGAAAGAAATATTATATAAAACGCTGCGTCGACAGTATATTAATATTGAATAATACGCTACTTTGGCAATATTAATACGTTTTATATTTAACTGTGTTTTATTTTTTATATTCATCATAATCAAGGAATTCTGAACAATTATCTTACAAAGGTGGTCTGTTTTCAGCAGTGTATATTGTGAATCTATGCGTCATTTCAGCAATCTATGTGCCTATGTTCATTTTCATTCTCTTTTTGTAGTCGTGCACCAGAAGTAAATAAACGATAGACGATATTTACTTTTATTATGTATAAAAAATTTATCTCCAAACTATGCCAATCTAATATCTTATTCAATGGTAAGTATTTCGAGTATCAAGGGAGGTGTGTCTTATTACTTCAAACCAAGCCATTAGAGAATCCGGCAGGGGGCTTCTTATGGTTGCTTGTTCTCGAAACTTAAACAAGTTGATAGCAGAAGGGTTTCGAGTGCCGGAGGACTCTGTGTTGTGAGTGCTATAAACATAAAATTTTATGCATGTGTATTATGAAGGGTTTTAATTTTTCACAAACATATAGTGGAGCGGAGTTTTAAACAATAAAACAGCATGTTTCGCTTTTTTAGCAAACGGTTTGGAAAGTCTTCTCAGAATATTAAAAAGAGCCAGTGTGATGAAAATGCTAGATACAGCAAAAATATAATTCCGTGTAAAGTAATTTTACTCGATGGCTCTATCCTCAGTGTGGAAGTATCGGTAAGTATTTGTAAATATACACTTTCGTTATCATCATGCTTCGTGATTAAATTGGAAATTATTCTGAAGCTTTTCTTTTATTTTCATTTAAAATGTGCAGAGGTACATGTGTCATTTAAATAAATATATGCTTTAATAGTATGTTCATCATTTTTTTTTTTTTTTTTTGGTATATGCAATCTTAAACTATATTAGATTAAATCTGTTCCGTTCAATTTTTATCGAATCATTTATAACAACCTGAAGTACTTTTTATGGTATTAATAAAAGATCGATCCTTAAACCCCATAATTATGTTTGCTATTTTTCTTTTGTGTTATTTGAGATTTAAAAACAACAGAAGTTGCTAATGTAGTAATTGATACCAACTAACCAATGAGGATAATAATGGGCGGATAATTGTCTGATCTAGTACTGCAGAATTATAGCAATAGTTTTTTTTTTTTTTTTTTTTTTTTTTTTCATTAAATCGCAAATTCAGTCTCACTCTGTTTGTGGTGATTGCTCTATATTTCTGAAATTTGTTATCTTTTTCCCACTCCACAATCTTCTCTCTCAATCCCTTTGTTACAGTTACTAAATTATTTTATTAAACCCCTATGTTAAATATTTTCTAGCTGTAATTTTATTGTGACCATATGCAGTGCAGTGATTTGGACTGAAAACATATAAATTTAAGATCTTTGTATTTTCTGTTTGTTCTTGTCTGACTGGAGTTATAATAAATGAGATATTTAAGTATTTTGTTGCTTCTTTTATAATCTGTATCATTTCTTTGAACTGTGCACTAGTCTTGTTATGTTTGCTTTGATATGTCAACCAGTACAAAAGCAAATTTTTTCTTATTTTGTTATCTCTTAATTTGTAATCCAGTATTTTGTTATAATTTAATTTGAAGAAAAGAATGCATATTCTGTTTATAACTCAAAATACAAACTCGTTAAATGGCATATATATATATATATATGAACAAAGGTTCTATTAATGAAACATAGCATGCGATATAACTGGACAGAGTGTACCAGAATAATTAACCTTGTTCACTGCATGTGGAATCGGATGTTTCTAGCAGTCGAAAATTGATTCTTCTAATCATGTAATGTTATCTAGATGTCATTTGAACATCCAATTTTTGTAAAAAGTTTCATTATATAATTCATACAGTTGGGAAAATAAGAAAGATTAAATAAGAATTTTTACTAAAATTACTCATTACAGTTATGAGCATTTGTAATCTAAATATCTAAAATTTAAGATTTAGATATTTTAAAGTTGGGTGTTTTAAAATTTCTTCATGGCCACCATGTTACCAATCCCTATTGGTTTTAATGAATGTTTAATGATATTCGGGAAATTTAGCTAAATATAAAAAGAAACAGTTAAAGCCTAGGATATTGAATTTCATGCTACCTATGATATCCAAGTTAATGCTTATCAAGCACATGTAAATCGAGATACTTAGAAGCGATAGTAATGCTCATATTTAGATTATATTGTAAATGTACAAGATTTTCCAGTTTTTTCTGTGTGCACGGAATCGCAACCCATACAAACTATTTAAACATTTTCAGGCTCTTTCCTAAATTGGATTCTTTCAAACAGTCAGCGAGTCATTCTCATATGAATCAGTAAAGCACATTAAATCAATTAATTATAGAAAACAAAACATCAGTTCTGATAAAGAAATGGGTTAATCTTTGGATTATGGTAAACTCGGCGATTTCCCCGATTTTTTTGGCGAAAATTTGGCGACCAACCCTGCTACAGCAACCTGCTAGTTTTTGTTTGGATGCCATTTTGTTTCATGAAGTAAAGGCATTTTTTTTTTTTTTGTTTTTGTTTTACTCAACACGTTTTTTTCCTTCCAGCAATCTGCTAGCCGTATTACGCTTATGCTAGAATTTTTATGGAACAAAAGGTGCTTAATCATGACGAGATTAGGTGCGAAATTGGGAGAAAGTGTAGAATCGCCCCAAAACTGCTTGCCGCGTTTTTAAGAATTCCACATACACGGTATCCATGTACACGTCGACCTATTTCTCATTAAAAAAAAATCCCTGCGCAAAAATGGCACAAAATGGCGCAAAAATGGCGCATACTCTTGACTTTATCCATGTACACTGCTAAAGTCCTAGCTAGTAACCTTTATCGCCTTACCAAAATGTCGCCAAACTACCTGTTACCATATTTCAAAGATTAGCCAAGAAATGAATGCTAAATGCATTTTGAAAGATAAACATTATTTCTTATTGTAAAAGAGATTGATTTATTAACTTTCAGTTTTTTCTCTTTATTAATAAATATCACCTGCACATTTTATTTATTTATTTTAGAATTTGTTACTGTCATCCTCATATTATTATTATTATTATTATTTTTCAGTTTGTTTCACAAAGAATAGTTAGTTTTTTGATCAATTACTTGGCATGTATTGGGCTTAAATCTTAAAGTATTATAAGCTTTCAAAATGTTGTATAACATTTTCGATTTGTCTTACAAAGAAGTTTTTGTGTCATTTAAATAATTGACATCATAATATTAATTTAAAAACTAGTTACTTGTTGCAATCCATTTTTCTATTTTATGTTCTTTATTTTCATTTCTATCATTAAAAGTATAAAGCTTCTGAAGCAATATTTATATTTAAAACGTTAAGTTCTGGAAAAAATTCCCAAAGGGGCAATTTGTCCAGAAGGGCTATTAATTTTGCTTTGGCATTTTGCTTTGATTCACTATAAAGGATGAATCATTTTTTGAATTGTTGCCACCAAATATCAGAGCCCTGTATTATATTTAAAGAAATTAAATAATGAAGAATCTGCATAAATGTATGTATGTTTCTCGCATTGTGATAAAACAATGGTACCTAGAGCCATCAAATTTTGAATAACGTAATCCTCCACCAGAATATAGGCATCTGGAACCTCAAATTTGGAATTTGTTTTATTATCTGTTTCATATTTTGTAAAGCATTTATGAGTTTTTGATTAAGAAACTCAACGATTTCAAAGTGAGCATGGCAACACTATACGGAAGGGGGGAACATTTTTATCTCCACTGTGCGAGACTGTGTATCAGAAATTCTGAAGATATGCTCTTTAAAATATTTTGTGTTATTGCTGTTGAACTGAATTTTATGGTTTACGTGCCAAGAACACGATATTTAATAAATAAAGGTAACACACAAAACATTAAAAAATGCCCCTTTGGCTATAATATAAAATCTGAAGGCTTTCAGATTTTTATTTATTTATATATTTTTTGCTAAGCTTCTGTGATTTGCCTTAGCTTTTGTATTTATATTCCGCACTGAACGGAATATGCAATAACTGTATATGAAATCAGCTGTTACTGAGAAGTTAAATATAGATACACCAAAACAAAAACTATACATTACATTATCGATAATAGGATACATTTCATTTTTATAAGCCTGTAGTTTGTTCAGTATGAGTCTTGCTGTGGTCAAAATATTATCATCTTATCAGCTATTTTTAAATTATCCTGATAAGCTACATTTTGTGTACACATTGTTTGTGAATGACAATACAATGTAGTGAAATGATGCTTTTTTACCCCCTCCCAATATTAGATTTAGTTTTTTTTTTTTTTTTTTTAATTTAATGTTGAAATGATTGTTCGCACATATCGTTCATTGCTCAATGAACACGCAAACATTTATAACATCAGATAGAGTAGGGAGGGGATCTTTGAAATGAAATTTATATGAATGTTTTTTCTTTTTTTAACAATGTAGTAGGATCTCTATGTATAAATTATTATGTATGAAACTTTTATATGAATGTTTTAACTCTGTAGAACTTTAACTGTAGGCTCTGTTGTTTAGTTTAAAGAGCCACTGGTGTTTAATGTGTAAGATTACTAGTGGAAGTGTGAGAATGTTATAAATCAAATAAAGCAAACAAAGGATTCTACACATACATATTTTTTTCTTTTCTTTTTATTTATTACATTTTTCATTCAAAATTTCTCTGTATAAAATTGGTCGATGATATGAGAAATAAGGTACATAATTTATATGATGTCTACAGTATATTAGTAAATGTTAAATCTATAAATAAGTTAAGACACAATAACACACCGAACAAATATTAATTCAGAAGTCAAACAACAAAAATCAGCGTTATATTTTCAAAATTGAAGTTTTGAAAATATAACACTGATTTTTGTTGTTTGACTTCTGAATTAATATAAATGAGTTGTCAAGTGTATTTGGATAGTTACTTGACAGCACATTGAGATTAAAATGATGTTTCATAAAGCCAAATGCCTCTTCATTTTGTTTTATTTCTGCATTGAAATCTCCCTTCATAATCATAGGAACATCTGTATCTACAGTAAACGCTTCATCAATCAATAATGTAGTCTCAGAATATTTCATGAATTCGCTAAACAAGAGCATCTTCAAATCTCCTGAATTAACAGTTGGATGAACATGTACAGATATTAGAATAAATCTTGACTGTCCATTAGCATGACATCAACCATACAAATATCGCCTGCTTCTGAATCTTGTAATCTCTTACACTGCTTAGAGTAAATTCCGTTGGTACACAATCTAATACACTAGTCAAATTTCTATAAATCGCAACACCACTTGGTGAAATAAATTAAAATACAGAAAGCACCACCCGAGCAGACTGTCTACCGGACGACCTTGTCATTCACACGCGGTCGCGCATGTGCGCGGAGCTTCACCCAAATTTCGTTATTTTTGATGCGTAACTATGCGTATAATCTTGTACAATTTATTTCCCCCCCCATTAATGTGCTCTTCCATCTTTCTAATGATATATTTAGATTGATTGTAACATTTGTAGTTTCGAAGATATAAGCGTTCGTGCGCACCTGAAATTGCGTCTTAATGCTTGCTTGCCCATCAGACCATTATGGAGGAACGTAATCCTACGTTAAAAATCTTTTAAATAAAATTAAGATGAAAGTTTAGACGTAATTTCTGTTCCCTCCTCCGAATTTTT